TTCCGATATCTTCGGAGATAACCTCGGCCTTGCCAAGATCATCTCGGCGTCACAACCAGCACACGTGGCACCTCGGCTGACACATCGGCGTCACCTTGCCACGTGTTGGTACTCAGAAAATATATCTCCATATATATATATATATATATATATATCAATATATATTAAGCCTAATTATTGGTTATAAAGGCCCTACTGAAGGACCCATCCCCAGATATTGCACAGGTATGACATAGAGTATTGGACAAAATAAAACAACTTATTGTCTTGCCATTTTTTTTGGGCATTGAATGATGCCACTCAATTATACATAGAATAAAGAACTTTGTTTCATTATTAATCTAAAATCACAACACAAGGTTGGGTTGGCAGATGTTTTGTGATTGTTGTAATTCATCAACAGGCAAGTAGCTAACCATGCCTAAAATCACATACTTGTATTTAAAGAAGCTCAACAATTATAATCAAATGCTTTTGTTTTGTCAATTATTTATACATATCAAATAATTAGGGTTGGATTTGACCTTGAGATAACTGTTTCATGGTCGTGAGATCCACCACACATCTCATTTTAATGATTTGAACTGTTTATTTTGTAAGATATTCTATGTATATCATCTATGAAAAAATCAGGCTCATATCATTTTTATTTTATTACGTTTGTTCCAAAAAAAGTGGATAGTCTTTCTCAAAAGCACACTTGTCGTCAATTTTTTAAAAGACAAATACAATAAAATGAAATGTTACAATTATCGAATCGATCAAAATTTTTTTCATAGATCATATACATAAAGGACCCTACAAAATGAATGAATTCAATCATCGAAATAGGATCTATGGTAATCCTCACGAGCTTGAACAATTTTTTCAAGTTCAAATTCCAACCCAATAAATTATATCAAATTAAACAATTAAATATATAAAAAGTCCAACAACATATACTATCCGCAATCTACCACCAATAATCACAACATCAATATAAAAAAAGTCCTATAATGAGAGGAAAAATAAAATTAAAAATCAATCTTTACTTTCTCCTCAGTTGAGATGTACAACCAACTGATACAAATACATTGTGCTATATATGATGGCACCAACAACGTAATTACATCTATTGTACTATATATAGAAAGTGTTGTATAATTATTTAAGGGATGAAATCTCCCCAGCATGAGATTGGGCAGATATGTGATACCTCAATGCTTCATCAATTAAGCCAATATATTATTATGAAACTGAATAAATTACACAAATGGTCCTGTATTTTCAAGCGTGCTTTAATTTGGTTCTTGAACTTTCAAAATTAGGCACATTAACCCTCCAATTTATACAGTTGCCTCAGAAAAGGACAATTGGTAATTGAAGTCATCTTTTCCATCAAAAAGCAGTCACGTGCCATGCACACGCACATGATTCAAGGGCAAAATGGTCAATTTACACTTTTCCCGCTACTTACGCCAATCCTAACTCAATAAAATGCTATTAGGGTTCTAACAATTGTCCCTTATGACGAATTGAATATCAAAAGTTGGGGGAGGATTTGAGTTTTTGCCAAAGGGAATTGAGAATTGGCTAAAAAATTAATTAAATCTAACAATATCTTTCAACATGACAGTGGGCGACATTGGGGAAGATGTACCCGATTATGGTGAGTCTTTTTGCATATTTTTTTGTCTGAAAATTAGTTGGTTTCTTTGATGCATTGTTGACAGAATTTTTTTTTGTTGATTCCTTTTTGTTTGTTTATTGTTTATGGCCCGATGTAGTGTATTGATATACATATATATATATATATATATATGTAATTCACACTGACAATATACTCACAATGATGAATGTGTATTATATATATATGTGTATGTGTGTTGAAAGTTGAATGTTGCTAACTATTTCACACATGTTCATGTTATAACTGTTTTGGGAATTGATGTTGATGATGTTGATCATTTGTAAAGTACATTGTGCCTAAATTCAAATCAATACAATTATGTTTTTGGTGCTTTGAATGGAATGGATGTTTTTGTGAATGGATGGTGCTTAGAATGGTATGGATGCCAATGGTTTTTGTGAATGGAATGGAATGGATGCTTTTGTTAATGATTTTGTTGTTTGTGTCCCTAAATGAATTAACTCAAGTTTTTGTTAATAATTTTGTTGGTTGTGTGGCCATATGAATTAACCCAGGTTTTTGTTAATGGTTTTGTTGATTGTGTTGTGGATAGAAATGACATCCAAATCCATTTATTAATAACATTACAAACCATCTTAGAAAAAGGTTCTCGTATATTTTGATGATTTTAGTTTTTATATTTTGATATATCTTCAAGTGTTAAAATGATTTAAAATTTATATTTAACTTAAATATTTTACATTAATCTTAATTCATATATCTTGAGCGCATTTGATGTGTTTGTTGCCTTAAGAATATAGGAAACAAGCAAAGAACCAAACAACCACAACAGGACCGGACAACTACCCAAAGTAGGAGAACCATCGGCTTGGCCAGTCGACTGGGTGGTCGACCACCTAGTTGACCACTGGTGTGATTTTGGTTCAGTTTTGTAGAAATAGAGATGTGTAAATTAACCACTTTGCCCTTGAATCATGTGCGTGTGCGTGAAACATGACTATTTTTCGAAGGAAAATGTGACTTCCGATACCAATTGACATTTTGTGAGACAACTCTATAACTTGGAGGGTTAATGTGTCTAATTTAAAAGTTCAGGAACTAAAGTAAAACATGCATGAAAATACAAGGACAATTTGTGTAATTTACCCTATGAAAATTTGGTCCTTAAAATTGTGTCTTGTTGGTTTCTTGATATTTTTGTATTTACTGTGATGTATGGTATCAATTATTCTAGTAGTTTACTTCATGAATTATTCTAATCATATTTATATTAGTGAATTTTTGCATCAAACATTTGACATTTGAACCTTTTTTTTTCTTTTTCCCTTTAATTTGTTGAGGAGTTAGTTAAATACCAAAAAAGAAAAGGACAATCCAACTTTCTTTAAATAAAAGATCATGAATCATAATAATGGAATTGATTTTCAACAACCAATTCTAACTAACATGATGAAATGAATTGGAAATTAATAAAAATTGTCACCATTCATTATTATTATTTTTTAAAGAAAAGTCAAACTCAATTATATTAAAATAAAATAAATAATATACACAAAAGAAAATAAAAATAAATAACTAAGTCTCAAAGGACCAAACAAGAAACCTAATGCAAACTATAAACAAATAACAAAAGCCATCAAAAAATCAGCCACGGTTCAGAGAAAACTGTCAATCTTTTTATAGATGTGATTTGGAAAAGTAAAATCTGATCAGAATCAAATCTATTGCAAAACCAACTGGCATTTTTTAATCTTTAAGATTTCCTTTTTTCACTTTAGCCCTTCTTATTTCAATTTTTTCTCAATTTACTTTTAAAATTATTTTTTGTTAAAAATTAAACAAAAAATAATATATTGACAATCACGTAACATAAAAATAATTTATTATACATAACTCACATCTGACATAACTTAAACCCTAATATAAAAATATATTTTTTTATGTTATGTAACAGTTATTGTAACATTTTTTTGTCTAAATTTGAAAAAAAGTTAACTTTAAAAAAAAAAAAAAAAAAAAAAAAAAAACTTGAGATCAATAACAACAATGCCCAAAAAATAATAATTTAAAGGGTAAATTATAAATACACCCCCTGATGTTTGATTAAAATACGAATTGCCCTCCTGTGATTTTGGGAATTTCATGCCACCTCCTGAGGGTTTTAATTTCACAACAAATTGCTCCTTTTATTAATAAATCATCAAGTCAATTAACAGTTTTTAATGATGCTAGAAATATGTTTCAATTAATAATTTAGGTAATTTTATTATTGTATAGGAGAACAATTATGAATTTCATTTTTTTAATTATGTCTGCCAGGGTTCCAGGTGAAAAGATTAGGATTTACCTTGTAAGCGAAGCACCTCCCATCATAGTTCACTTTTGGGTTATTCCTCAAACTGTCAAAGACAGCCTTGTTGGAATTAATGTCAACATAACATGCTTCATTTATTTGCTCTGGTGTAAAGGCTTGCCTTGTCTGTAGAACAAGAAACATAAATAATTAAGGTGTAATTAATCCCTTTCAAGTGAGCCTACAAAAAATGAGAGGACAAATCAACCAATGACTTCCCACATGCCCCTGCCTCGCGCACTGGCATCCTGCAGGGGTAGGTGGGTTGTGCAGCAAGTATCAGCAGCATGAATAAGTTCAAGGCTCACAGCATAAGAAGTATTGGAGGAACTATAAAACTTCTACAACCTCTATATTTTTTTGCTAAGTCTATAACATAACCTCTATATTTGAACACTGTAGATCTACCCAAAGAAATCTCACATTACCCAACCCCCAGCTGGATGAAAAATCTCGAGAGATAAATAATGCTAAAACAGAACACTTCACCACTGTATAAAACATAACACTTCAAGAATAGATCCAAAAGCTTATAGAAGTTAGTTATAAATATCATTATCATACCCCTCTCCTTTGCTTGGGAGAACACAACCATCTGGAAAAATGATATTGCCTGATGAACTTCCCCTCCTCTGATGACCTTGCACAGCCGTGCCGTCAACGTTTCTTCCACTGACATCTGAGCCAGGTTTTCCAGACAAATTATTTTAACATTATCCTCAAAACAGGAGGCAGAATTTTGTGAAACTTGGTGTTCATGGTTTGAACCAGCAATGCTTGCATCATCATCGGATTTCTCAAATTTAGTTCTGGAAAATAAAAACAAAATTGTAGTTTCGTTTATACAGACTGACGACCTTGCCCATGCAAAGGTCATAAGAAACAAATATATTAAATGAACATTAAAATTTGTCTTAGCACCAGCACCACTCTTTCATATCATAGAACTCCTAATAAGCAAATTATGTGTAAATAGATCACAAAACATATAACAGCAGGACAATATGAGAGGAAAAGATATGATTGAACGATCTACAACAAGAAAACATACAACGCATTAGTCAGAGTTACGTCGGCTGATAGAGAAGATGGTTTATTCTGCATCAGATCATTATCTTCCTGTGAAGTACCATATCGTTAGGAACCGCAGAAAGACTCAGGTTTCACTAAAGAAAACCATGCAAAGAGTGTTAACATACTATATCTGAAACTTGTGAACAGTAGCTCACTGAAGACAACTGATGCTGCAATTCCTTTTCATGGTCAAGCCCAGAAGAACTAACTGAGCTTCCACCCAGATCTTTTTCAGATATAATGTCCTCATCCTGGATCTAGCAAAATAAATGTTGATTAGTAAACCTAAATTTACAATAGCTCAATGGATTCAGAAAGGAAAAGCTGCACAGAAGAAATAGCTAGTTACTTTACCAAGGAAGCTTGAGCCTTCACGTCTTCAAGATTGAAGTTCCAACCACTAATCCCTCGTTTGTATTCATTCTACACATGATTCACAAAAATGAATATAAGAAACGGCAAGGTATAACATAGAAAGATCCTACCCTTAAACTTAAACAATCCTGCATACAGAATATTCTGTGAACAAAAACTAGAACAGTATTGACAGGAATCCCACCACAGGCAGAAACAATATAACAGAAAGAGAGATCTATCAAATCAGCAAGCTGTTAACAACCTGCCATGTTTGGGAAGTGTTATGTTGGCCACGCTTTATTTTACTAATCAAAATTTCTTGACAATAGCATTGCGGGTTCAAATTCCATAACCACGCATTTTGGAATCAAGGCTTCAAATTAATTCTAACCCCAATCAATAATAACTGTATTTAATGTCCTACTCACTGCCTGAGTCAGAGCATGCTCACACAATAAGGATAGAATCCAGCAAGAGGACATCTTATGACAAATTGTCCTTAACAAAGAGAAATAGTCATGCCAACCAGGGCATGACCACTGACCCATTTAAAAAATGAAGATTTTGTGATACCCCCTGACACAATGAAGTGAAAGAGTGGGGATCATGTAATCCAGGAATGTTAAATATACAAATAAGTAGTGACAGTTACAAATCGAAAGCCCACGTGTTTTAGAAGAACACATCAGCCGAACATATGGTGATTTTCACAATAGAAGAAAGAAACACAACATGAATTGGATATCCAAAAATTTGTTAGATGTTAAAGGAATCACTAGACTGCATAATTATCATAACAGCCAGTGCCATTTAACAAATGTAAAATGATTATGACAGACAGTTCACATTCACCTATTAGACTAAAATAATAGTAAGGTGCACATGTACTAATTAGCTTTGAGAGGAAATTGAAAACAAAAGAATCTAAACATACTATCAACCACCAAAGACCAAAAATTTTATACCAAACAACCAATGTTGAACACAATCTACCCAAAACTGTTAAGTTCACCTCCATCTAGAATTGCAAGGATATTGCACACACTATTATTCACACACTATTATTCAATTTAAAGGTAAAATCATTCCCTACAGGCAAATTAAAAACCTATAACTATTAACAGAGGATCACTGAAAAAATATGAGGTTGGCAGTTCAATCATAGTTCAAGAGGTCACTAAACCGGAAATTCAATAGAGACAAACCCAAATACAGAGTTTGAGCATAAAGTATGAAAGGAGCGTATTCCCATGCCAGACAACTCCTTTGAACGGTTGAAGAACACTTCAACATGTTCTGCAGGGAAATTTTTTTATATTTTGACTTGGTGTTAATTTCAAAAGATGACCACAAGACTTCCATAGACAAATCTAACATATATTTGACAAGGCACTCAAGATCTATGAATAGAATTGCCAGAATCAAGAAAACTACAGACCACAAATTCCACCATGTGCAAACGAAAAAGAAAGAAACTCACATTCATAATTTTGCTTACACAACCACAAAATAAATTAATATGAATGTCATACACAAAACCACCTGGCTCTCATTAAACATCATTTCATACCTCTGAGCCACTCTGTGAGGATCCATGACAAACAAGAATTATCCGATTACTGGTTTTTCTTCCCCCAGAACTTCCAGCTGCAATAGGTGAATTTGGGGTCTGCATCAATTACAACAAAAATTATGTTCTGCGCTCCAAGGCAACCTACACTACAGGGAAGCTAAAGCCTATGCTAAGTGCTCACAGTAAATGGGTTCTTTACCCTAAAAATTTAGGCATTCAACATATACTAGACCACGACTCTGATGGACAAAATGCTTAATGATCAATACCAACCATTTTGTAGGTTAGAAAAACAAAAAAAAAAATTCAATGTCATAATGTCATTACAGATATTGTTGATTAATTTAAGCAAATTGGATACAGAATTTGCCGGTTCATGAAGGGAATAGACAACTCAATGTCATGACTGCATTGAAATTATAAAGATAATGTTGGATCACCCTTTAAGTAATATTGAAGAATGAATAGGGATACCTGATTTAAGCGATTAAGACATATATATGGAGACCCACCCTCTAGTCGTGGGGTGAAATCCAGCACAGTCACACCACAATTGCTCTGCAGTAAAATCCTGAAATACTCGGTGCCTAAGCCTGATAAATGGGAAGAAGCAACGAAGGAAAAGAGAAGAAACTGCATTCAAAATGACATATTAAAATTTCTGTTGGCAAGTCATAACAGAGAAAGTAGAGAGTACCAATCGCTGTTGCAACGAGGGCCTGATTAACAGCATTGTGAGCAACCACAAGAACAAACATGCTTTCGTGAGTTAAGATTTTGGTCCAGCAGCTTCTAGCACGATCCCACAACTCCCTCACTGGATAATGACCATCAATATTAAAATTTGCCGCATCAGTTTGCCACTGCTGGAAAGTCGCACCAAACTTTGCTTTTCCCTTTTGCTTTAGGTGACCCTAAAGTCAATAATGGAATCAGCAACCATTACTATACCATTTCTTTGGCATGTTACGTCTTAATATCATGCAATTAATAGTCTTACAGATAACGTCAACTTCTCTATCAATCGAATTAGCCCGTTGGTTAACTTTTGGCATATTAGCAAGCCCAAAACACAAATAAATAAAGTTTAGAAAAAAAAAAGGGCAAGTTCTCCAATATTATCCTTTCAAACAAAGATTAAATCACAATTATTATTGATCTCCAAAAAACTATTTAAAAATGAGTTTGAAAAAGGAAAATAATGGTTGGATGAGCTAAAATCTTTGTTAATAATATAACAAATAATAGTATTACCATTGGCAATGGTCTAATAAAGAACAAATAAAATTTGGGTTATGATCAATGAAAAGAAATAGGTTGGCCTTTTCTTTAACTACCTGGCCAACATGCTCTACTTCAACCTTGTCTCTCCCAACAAAAATTCAATTCTCAATTATTTGTCAGCTAACATATTGGAGATTTAGATAAAGCAATCACTACAATGTACAAATTACCTGCAAAGCACAAATCTATCAATAAATTACAATCATCATATTTCTCTATATCATATTAATTATATATATATATATATATATATTGTCAATTAGATTGACATATCAAATGATAAGATAAGATGGTTAAAGTAGATAGTCATTGCAATATTACTCCAAATTTATTCTCTTCAACATGCCCACTCATGTGTGACTAGACTCTCTCCAAACACGTTTACAATATTATATTTTTAATTTTTTTTTGTAGGAGGTGAGATTCAAAGTTCTCCAATAGAGCTTCCTTGCCCCCTATGGGACCATTAATTCCATATCAAAGCCAGCCCTATTCTCCTACAACTTAAAAGGGATATCTCTCTCGTCTTGTGGGTTTTCAAAAGACTATTGATTAATTGTCGCTCTTTTGTCTCTTGTTCTGGTTCATGGTTCCTCAAGCCAACCCCCAAAAATCTAAACACAAATATCAATATCAACTAACAATTAGCACATACAAGTATCAATAGTACTTTATTACTTTCGCTACCAAGTCATCTTGGTGTATAATAATTAAGATCCAATCAATTAACATAACATGAAAGTACCAAATATCAGCAATCATTTCTTATCCGTAGCCTACACCAAAAACTCACAAAGATAATTTCCCTAACAATGCAAGCTTGCGTATTCAAAGATTAGAAATTACCCTCACAAAGAGCAAGCTTAACCTTCCTTCCCTTGCAATGTTTGAAAGCAAAAAGCTCGTACATATCAATCTCTGCTATGTGATTCATGGAACCTATATGTGACTGTGAATCTTAAATGCATCCCCATTATCACATTAAAATGCTAATAATATTAAAGAACAAATCATGAATGTTCATGGAATATTTTTTTTTCTTTTTTAATTGGTAGAAAAATATGAAAAGAATTACATTCGGAATTATAGTCCAATAGTTGTAAAAACTCTAAAAACCAATCTAATAACTAACCAAGTTAAGAAAGAACACCATAATGGGGATATAATAAACAATACCACAAAGACTATCATAATTATTAAATTTAACATTAAATATTGCATAATTAATTGTTTGTGTATTGGTTGAATGGTTTAAATTGATGCATGTTATGTTTTCAAAGTATGACTTTTAACCCTAAAAAATTTTACTTGCAGGCCCATTGGCGTGGTCATAGAGCTTTTTTGTACTACAAGAAACTAAAAAGGGCATCCATTGTTACACAATGCAGATGGCGGGGAAGAGTCGGCAGAAAAGAGCTTCGAAAACTAAAGATGGTAGGTATTGGTATTCTCGTGCTAGTGACGTTGTAAGAAGTTATGTATGCCCCTTATCCTTACTTGTGGGTATTGTTTGCAAGCTATTTAGTCGTAAGAATTGGATGTAATCAGAGATGGTTTAGGCTTAAATGCTGCTTATAGCATGAGGGCATGTTTAATTGCTTTGGGACATTTGAAGTGGCAATGATGAGCATTTAATGCACTGGAAAAGCATCCATGTGATAAATGTGGAATTCAGATGGAAAACATGATATTTTTTGTTGATGACATTTTCACGTAATAATACATGTGAATGTGCGCATATACACACCCCTGATTATAGAGCATAAAAGTTTGTACATGGTATTTTTTGCTACACCAATTTAGAAGCTTGTATTTTCCCTAGCAATACTCTTATATTTGAACATACCTTGTGTGCATATGCAATATTTTTTAGGCTGCAAGAGAAACAGGTGCACTGAAAGAAGCAAAGGCTAAGCTTGAGAAACAGGTGGAAGAACTCACATGGCGTATGCAGTTGGAAAAACGTTTGAGGCTAATTTCTATACATATCTATATATGTTGTGCAAAGTACTTTACATTTTCTGCAGGATATATAAAATTTGGTCTGTGGATTTTCTATGATGAGGATTTAACCTGACTTCCAAAGCCTCCTATCAGAAAAATGAGTTGAAATCCAAATCTATGTAATCTATGGCAGTAAGCACTAAAGTTTTCTTCCACTGCTTATTGCTTAATGACTTTCATTGGCAATAGCTAATCCTCTGATGATTATTTTATTTCCTATTTGATAGAAGCATAATTAATTTGCATAATTAATTGACAATAAATATTGCATAATTAATTTAATTATTAAACATAACATTAAATATTCAACCATAACTACATGGCTCCAATAGAAAAGCAGTGGCCTAACCACAAGGAAAATTCAAGCATACCAATAGAAACAAAGAACAGAGCAAAAAAGGAAAAAAGAAGAACATTGAAACCCCCTTTATGCAAAGATTAATAATTAACATTTTGTCATAACTCAATTTGAACACATGTAGCCTTCCTTCTGATCACGTAGCAGATATATATATGCAGTTTGTGACAAAATTGAAGGAGAGAGAGAATGATGCAGTTCAGTGAATCAATTTCCTCCAAACCATTGTTCGATCAAATATGAAATTGCTATCTCATTTCTCTCTAGAAGTACGAATTAGTTACCTGGTGAATGAGAGAGGAGAGATCGGAATGGACGAGAAGGAGGCAATCGATGTCGTCATTTTCGATTGATCTTCGTTCACAGGAAGAAAATTGATGCCGATGGAGAGAAAGGAAAGAGAGAGAGACATCCAATCTGGGTTCCTTCTCAACAAAGGAAATTGTTTACTAGAGATCCAATATTAGGAGAAACTTATTACATATCATCATATTAAACCAAATTACCCCAATCTGGGTTCGATTGATGCATCAACAGTGTGAAGTAGAAAATTATTGGCGATGGCGATTTGCAGCAGTGGCGACGTGCGACCGACGTGAGCAATGTTGGTGAGGGACTTCGGTGAGCTAGAGAGAGTGGGCACCAATTGAGAGAGAGAACACAGAAAGAGGGAGGGGCGGGCCAATAGAGAGACACAGATTAGGGCTTTTTTTAGATAGAGACAAGGGAGATCAGGGCATTAATTTTTTTTCTTTTCATTCAATTCCCGCCCAACGTTTCAAATTCCCCCCAAACTTTTGGCGACCAAAAATCAAATTAGTCGCAAAAACAGGTTCTTTCGCCGACAAATTTTTTTAGTTGCCAAATATCAATCAACGGCGACTAAAATATTAGTCGCTAAAAGTATTAATTTGGCGACTAATTTTTTTTGGTTGTTGAAAATAAGTTTTTCCCGACCAAATTTTTGGTCGCCAAAAAATATGTGACCTTTCGCGACCAAATTTGTAGTTGGTCGGCAAAAGTATACCACTTTTTGCGACCAACTCATTTTTGGTTGCCAAAATATAACCTTTTGCGACCAATAATATTTGGTCGCCAAATGTCATTTTTTTGCGACCAAAATTTTTTTGGTCGGCAAAAGTGGTCGGCAAATGTGTGAATTCTTGTAGTGTAATCACAAATATCTACATATATACTAAGAAAGCGTATATGCATATGCATATGCATATATTTACATATAATATATATGTAGATATTTGTGATTACACTACAAGAATTCACACATTTGCCGACCACTTTTGCCGACCAAAAAAATTTTGGTCGCAAAAAAATGACATTTGGCGACCAAATATTAATTAGTCGCGAATGATCATTATTTTTGGCGACCAAATATTATTGGTCGCAAAAGAATCACATTTTGGCGACCAAAAATGAGTTAGTCGCAGAAATTGGTATG